CACTGTCTCCCCGTCTTTTCCCTTCCAGTCCAGTCAGACCACCGACCAGGTAAGCCGGGGAAGAGACGCAATGGCATTTTCCACGCGCACACACGGAGAGGCTGGCGCGCAGCCGTCGGGGAGAGATTCCGGGGGCGGAAAACGCCGAGCATCCCTGGGGCTGCGGGGCCCCACGCTCCCTCCAGCCTAGAACACCTGCTGCGGCACGGTTGGCGGCAGGGGCCCTAGGTGACCCCTCCGCCCGGGAAAGGGCGCCCGGCCTCCTGCAGGCTCTGGCGGTGGAGGCCGGGGTTTATTGTTCAGCCTGGCTGTTCCTTCCCCTCCCCTCCCCCATCCTCTTCCCTCCCCCATCCTGACTCGATCTAGAGCAGGCCCGGCGGGAGGAGGCGGGATTCCAGAGACGCGGTTGCAGCCCCCTCTCCTGCTCCCCCGGCCTCGGATACAGCCCCAAACCTTGCGTCTCGCCCGCGGTGCCCGCCGCTTGCGTTGGAACCCGCAGCCCGGGCTCCCCTCCAAATTTCTGCAACTTCCCGAAGGCTTGGCGTCTCCCCCACCGCCCCTGAGAGGATCCGGGGGGAGCGGGGGAGCCAGCGCCGTTTTAGGTTTCACTTACAAAGACCCCATTGTAATCTGTCTGGTCGCCCGAGATTAGAAAAACAAAGTTTCCCTGATGAAAGAAGCTTTCTTTCCTTTTTTAAACTCTGAAGAGAGAAAAAAACATTCCACATTCCCTAAGCAACGTGCCCATACTATTTCAGATGCCAGCATCCCCTTTGGCACCATCCAAGTCTAGCCGTTTGCAACCCATAAAAGGGATCACACCCTAGGGTCAGTCTGAGATCTGGTGTATTTTTGAAGCGAGGTGCAAAGACCTGCGAGAGAGTGTCACTGTCACTGTCACTACAGGTAGAGCTGAAAGGGGGCCAGGCGCTCCCTGGGCTCACGGCTTTTCTGCCCCATCCTCTCTTGTTTTTCCCTTAAGAGTATCCCCCTAGTGTTTGCTGAACACAGGAGTTACAAAGTGATGCTGTGATTGGTTTCGGGTGGAGCGCCTCCATTCTCAGCGGTTCCGTTTTGGCCAAAACTCTGACCTGCAATTAACCTCGATTAAATAGTATTATTCAATTACCACCATTTTCATGATTGAATCTCTTGACTAAGAGACTCTCCCTTCCTCACCCCCCCTCCACCATCCCACCTTGGTTTAATGCTCGGTAGAGGTGAAGCTCCCACTGTCAGCCTCATGCAGAACCTTGCGGAGATGGAGAAACCCGCGTTCCCTTGCACATTTGAGACGCATATGTTATATTTGGTTTAAAAAACCCAGCCTCCGCAGGGCCGCGTCTTTTCTGGGTGGATGGGAGGGGGTGGGAGGAGGGAGGGTTGGGGAACCCGCGCCTCGTCTCACATGGTTGTCCTACGTGCTCCTCTAACCCCTGTGCGCTGTTTTGTCAGAGAGGCCCCCCGGGCGAGCAGGGTCCTCCCGGGCCGCCGGGCCCCCCCTGGAGTCCCCGGCATCGATGGCATCGACGTAAGTTCCATCTCCAGCCCCCTTGGTTCCTCTGATGCTGCGCTTCCCTATCCTTCCTCCAGCGGCTGGGCTGGGTCCTTCGAGAGGGCCGGAAGCCCCCCACCCAAAGGCAGGGCTGGATGTGGGTGAGGGTTGGGAGTCCTGGCCTAGAAGCCTGGGGGTTTTCCGAGAGAGGAGGTCAACGAGTCCTGTTTGGTCCCCAACCTGCACTATTTCGCCCTTCCCCGAGCGGGCTTCTCCCCGCGGCGTCCCTAACTCACGGACTATACTGCCTTTTCCTCCTACCCCTCCAGGGTGACCGAGGTCCGAAGGGTCCCCCAGGTCCCCCGGTAAGTTGATCAGCGCCTTGGCGCTCCGCTTCCTTCCTTTCACCTTAGTCTGCAGCCACGTGCGCCCCAAGAGTCTCAACTGTGCATCTTTTTCTCTCCCTGCCTCGCCTTCTCCCTGCCCAGGGTCCCCCTGGAGAACCGGGAAAGCCGGGAGCGCCGGGCAAGCCTGGCACGCCGGGCGCCGACGTGAGTAGACGGTGCTGAGGAGCGCGCATCGTGTGTGTGTGTGTGTGTGTGTGTGTGTGTGTGTGTGTGTGTGTGTGTGTGTGTGTGTGTGTGTGTTGTGTGTGTGTGTGTGTGTGTGGTGGTGGGTGGGGGGGAGGAGAGAGAGTGTGA